GTGTAATCCGACGAATATTTAGTTACATAAGTTCTTATAATTCTCCTTCTAAACCAGTTAATTCTCTGTCATACCTGGAACCTATCCTGAAGCAAACATAGCTATTGATATTCGGCCTACTACTCTATTAAATACTTTACCTCCTCCTGTGCCAACTTTTTTAAAAATTTGAACAAAGATATTTCCATAACCACCAGACCAAACTTGCTAATTTTTTAAATTTGAATTTTATAGATTTATAGAAATCAAATAAAAAATTTTTAATAAAGTTTGATCAGGTAGTTGTAAAGATATCTTAACTTGAAGTTAAAAAAAAATCAAAATACCAAACAAAGTGCCAACTTTTTAAAAAAACTTAAGCAAAGATATCTTCACAGCTACCAAACCAAACTTGCCAAATTTTTTTTAATTTGAATTCTGTGGATTCATAAAATTCAAATAAAAAAAATTTATAAAGTTTGATTAGGTGGTTGTGAAGATATCTCCATAGCCACCAGACCCAACTTGATAATTTTTTTTTAATTTGAATTTTATAGATTCATAGAATTCAAATAAAAAAAAATTTATAAAGTTTGGTTAGCTGGTTGTGAAAATATCTTCACTTGAAGTTAAAAAAAATCAAAACATATAACAAAATTAAAGCTGTGTCAACTTTTTTAAAAAATTAGAGCGAAGATATCTCCACAGCCACCAAACCCAACTTGATAATTTTTTTTATTTGAATTCTATGAATCTATAGAATTCAAATAAAAAAAAAATTATCGAATTTGGCCAGGCTGTTGTGAAGATATTTTGATTTTAAAGATAGAAAGTTTTTACTTTTCATTGAAATTACTGTTACACAAATCGGATGATCGTCACGTGCGGGAAAATTTCTTGTGGGTGACGTGTATAATTTTAGACTATTAGAAAGCATAATCACTTATTGGGGTTGCATAATTTACAGTAAAAAAAAGAAATCTCTAGGTGATTTCTGATTACTTAAAACTACTCCGACATTTGGATATGAAGTTTTTCATATCAGAGTAGTTTTAGAAACCAGAAATTATCCTAAAATAGAGTGATTTCCTTTTTTTTTATGATCGATACTTTATATTAAGCATCTTTCTAAATCACATCGGCACTTGCAAAAATCATCTTTAATATTTACCTTATATTGAATAAATCACTTGTGATCGATGATTTAGATCAAATTGTTAACGCACTTGTAATGATGATATTAACAACAATTTGATTTATTAATGCGCATAATATATTAAAATCCTTGTAGTATTTAAAATACGAAGGCTGGCAGTAAAGTATAAATAAATACGCATTAATATGAAAACTTTTTAAAAAAAAAATGATATATTCATCTTTTCGTATTATCCTCTTATCATTTTATATTTTATTATTCGCTTCTTTGGACAGCTCTTTGAAAGCGATCCATGCACTTGTGTCAGGACCACACATTATTTTTCCTTTGGATAGTGTACAACCATACCACCACCGTCTAATGAATAAAAATATTATTAAACCAGCACAAATACAACCACACCACCATCATCATCATGTAACAAAAGATAAAACACGACATTATCCAGTACATAATCATGTGTTATCTGATATGTCGACAATTCAAATACCGCAACCTCATCGTCCTTTCTCTTCCAATCCATCATATCACACATCTTCACAACCCAGACCTATATCCCCGTGGTCACAAACATATGCTCAATGTGAAGCGTCACAATTAAACAGTCTTTTATCACCGATATCATCAATATCATGTGAAAAATTATTGAAAAACCAACTTAAATTACCTTTGCTTCGTTCAATGCTTCTTACATCGGCATGTGCAAGAATTCAGGGCGCAAACGAATTTGATGAAATGATTAGAGCATTGGCACTTCAAATTTCAATGTTAAATGCTGAAAATAGGGAGCCACAATCTACTACTATTGAGGTTACTACAACAACTTCTGATACAGATCAAAAAATTAATGATGCATTGCCGAACGAATTGTTATTATCTGAAGCGCTTATTAAACCAGAAACAGGATTAGATGATGACACTCAGAATGATGACATTGAAAGTTCACATTATCCAACTCCTTCTTCACCGTCAGAGACCAAACCTAATCCACCTATCGCATCCGAACTTCAACAAATGCAAAGACCTCATCATAAACT